GCCGCAGCACCTGCGACGAGCCCAGTCTGGCGCCAGGGGGCGCGGAAGCGCGTCGGCCCCTCCGGCCCCACGCCGGCCCCGCCCTGCCCTTGCCCGGCCCCGCCCCCAGCCCCGCCTTCCCTCCTCGAGGACGGGCCGCTCCCGGCTCTCGGCCCCCGGCCCCGCTCCCAGCGCAGGCGCAGTCCCGCGTTCCCGTGGCGGCTTCCAGCGCAGTGCGCCCGCCGCGGCGGAGTGTAGCGGCCTCGGCCCGTAGTCGTTCTCTGCCTCTCGCTGCTTCCGGGCGCGCTCTGTGCGGCTCTGCGAGCGCCTCTGAGAGCGGGCAGCGGCCGCGGTGGGTTCGTCAGGTGAGTGCGGCGGCGGGAGGGAGAGGCCCGGGGTGTGGAGCACCGCCCCCCTCAGCGCCCGCGCGCCCGCCTCCCGTGAGTCGGCCGGGAGGGGCGGCCGCGGCAGGTGCAGGTGCCGGCGCGGCTGAGGGTGCGGCGCGCGGGGACTCGGCGGGGGCTGCTCGGCCCGGCGAGCGCTCTCCCAGGCTGGGCACTAGGACTCCGGGACCCCCGGCGGCGGGATGTGGGCTGCTCGACACCGCGGCTGAGACGGGCTCCCCCCGGGCCGCTGGTGGGCGTCGGGCGGCGGCTCCTCCCCGGTCCCCCTTCCCCGGCACGGGCGCGTTACTCATTAACTGCGCGGCCCCGAGCACCCGACGCGGTGAGCTGGAGCCGAGTTACCTGGCGGCGGGCGAGCGCAGCCCGGAGCTGGGGCCCAGGTTTGCGGAGGGGGTGAAAAGAGAGTTCCCGAACAAGTCGGAAGCCAGTCGCAGCACTGGACGCCCCGAGGCAGTGGTGCGGAATGGAGCGGTAGCTGTGGGCCAGGGGTTCTTTCGCGCCCCAGGCTCAGTAAGCGACGTGCGAGGCCCCATGCCGAGGCGTAGAGGTCACCCTCGGGAGGTTTCGGCGAAACCTGGTGGTAAAGAGCGAGCGCCCAGAGTCGCGCTTTAGGAGGCAGCTCAGTTCAGCCGGACTTTTGTTTGGGGGAGTTGAGACGAGCTGCACAGACGTAATTGTAATGACACTGCCCGCCCAGCGTTGACAACTCGCCCCGACCGCCCAGCGAGCTTAATGGCTCAAGAAGTGATGATGCTAGGTGGAATCCGCAGCACGTGAAGAGTTGCCAGTTGTTATGGGATTAAAAAAACATTTATCTGTAATGGCTAAAGGGTAAGGTCTTGAAAAATAAGAGCGCTGAATTAATACTGATTCCTGAGAGGCAGTTTAGTTTCATGGAAATGTTGCCAGTTCGGAGGCTACCTGTTATACACTTTTCTGTTTTCCCCCAACTCCTTTCTTTCAGTGTAGGGGGAATGGGGCGGGGACAGCGTTGTAATCTCTTGCTGTGGGATCATTTCATGATTGGAGGAGAGGCCAGTAAGAGGATTAAAACAAAACTGTTCCATTGTAAATCTGTTGAAAGAGCCGTTTTCTATTTATTATCCTTATTTTGTTGCTCACGCAGTTTTTTAAAAAAATGGTGAATGACAAATCAAGGAGAAAAGCAGAATAGGACTGTAGACCTATCATAGTAAATATTTGATACTGTTAAATATTTCACCAGTTTTATGGGGCCTTGTTCTGTTACCATTTGTTATTTATTTACTAGTACTGTGCATTTTGATAGGACTTTTCATGTTTGGACAGACATTGTATTCCAAATATGGTTTATGTGATCAACTCCTAAAGCCCTTGTGGAATTTATAGCAATACATTTAGCAGTTATGCAGTTTTACTAAAGCAGCCTCTTACTATTAGAAGAAAAGCCCTTAATTTTTTTTATATTACAGTAATGTATATAAATGCATATCTTTGTGTACCAAAGTGTTTAATATAACTGTTCCTTGTGTGTTTGGCAAACAAGTTATCTGTATTGTTGAATACCTCTAACCTTTTACCAGGATGAATATTTGATGCTTAGCTGTTTCCTGGAGTTTCTAATTAGTGGAATTTCTAATTAGATCCAATTTTGCTTTTTGAATTAGTGTAGTTATGCATATGCTTCCTTTAATATTCTTTACCTCTGATTTCCCCTAATCCTTCCCCAACACACACATAGATACTCTACAAATAACTTTTTTTTTTTTTTTTGAGACAGAGTCTCACTGTGTTGCCCTGGCTAGAGTGCCGTGGCGTCAGCTTAGCTCACAGCAACCTCAAACTCCTGGGCTCAAGCGATCCTCCTGCCTCAGCCTCCCGAGTAGCTGGGACTACAGGCATGCG